GGGGACTTCACAGCTTGGCTCCGTCCGCAGCGGCTGACGGACACACGCTCATGCTGTCGGCTTTTCGGCAGGTGGCACCACAGTCAGCCGATCGTGCCCAGACAGCTTCGGGTAGCCCAGAGGCGGCTCGCTATGGCAGTTGCAGCACAAGCCATGTAGATCCAAGCATGTGCAAGTGATCCAAGATTTGTTGCAGCCTCCACAGTGCGACAATGGCCAGCCTTCTCCTGGGTCTTCTCGACCCGGGATATTACGCATTGCGCAACACCTTCAGTCGAGAACACAAGAAATTCTTCAAGAACGGATACGGTGATCTGGCACGCGCAGAGGAGCATATGCGCACTTGTATGGGTTTGTTGAGAGACTTGGGAGTCGAGGAACGGGTGGTGATCCAGGGTCCCGTCAATGCGAGCGATGCTACCGGAAACAGCTGGTACAACAATGAGTCCAGCAATGACGGTGCAGCCAGCAACATATCTGCTGTGTCTACGCAGACTCTCCGGTTTCGCAGTCCGTTCCGGACGGTCTGCGGTGACGGTGCGTTGCCCCGCGAGGCTTGGGACGCTGAAGTCATGTTGGTCGAGCCGAGACGCGCAGATGCGGATTCGAAGCAGACGCGCGAATGCAGTTGCGTGTTCAACCAGCTGTGGGAACAGAATAACAGCAGCAACGCGAATGACTCGACAGCGAAGACGCCTTCCAGTTCGATGCCCCCGACCTGTCCAGGAAGCGTCGGGACGCCTCGTGTCTTCGTGGTGCTTTTCCCCGCAACTGGCGAGGAGACCACGGATGATCGCAGAGCGCTTGCCGACCTGCTCGCCACAGAGCGAGGCTTCTCGAGTCTGATCATCACCGCGCCGCTGTACGGCCGCAGGAGGGCGCAGTCCCAGGGCGACACCTACCACGCCGACAACCTCGCCGACTTCCTGTCCCAGAGCACGGCCATAATCATGGAGGGGGTCGCCATCGCTCGCCACATGGTGGTGGGCCGCCAGGCGGCCACAGCCAACGCCGGGCATGAGAGCGAGAGGGCCATCGTGTGCTACTCTGGCTTCTCCTGGGGGGCTGCGATGGCTTCGGCGGCGGCTGTCGCGAGCCTGGCGTGGATGCAAGACGTGTCATGTCCTGCGGTAGAGATTTGCGCGGCTCCTTACGCTGGCAGTGCGACGCCCGCCGTTGTTGCGGACGGCTTGCTCGCTGGGGACATCGAGTGGAAGGCCTTGGTGAAGCAGGATGATCAAGAGATGTCCACAACAAGTGAGGATGACTGCTCCACAGAGCAGGAGAAGGTAGACCGCGCGAGACGGAAAGTCCGCAACACCTTGTTGTCGGCGCACTTGAGCAGGTTCTCGGGAGCGTTGGGTGTGGAATGTCTGAGCCGGCTTCGTGCCGTGGAGTGTGTGAGCTTCGCGGACGATCATTTCGTCAAGCAGGAATATTGTCAGGAGTTATTCGAGATATCTTGGCGGCGCTCACAGGGGGGGAGGGGAGAAGGCGTCTCAGAATGAGGCTGCTTCTTCGAAGTCGCGGGCCTCGTCCACAGGTGTAGGGCCAGCGCCTTCGAAGAAGCAGCCTTCTATTAAGAAGCGTTCCCCCTCACCCTACCCCCCAATGCGCGCCGCCAAATATTGAGGAGTTGGGCCAGTGACCCTAACGCAGCGCACATCACGTGGATGAGCGGAGGCCACGTCCGGGCTGCGCTCTCGAGGCTGTCTGAGCAGCGGGGTGCCATCGAGAGAGCGGTAGCCCGGACGGTGGAGAGCGCTGGCCGAGATCGGAGAAGCACGGCTGCAGGGTCCGAGAAGGACAGGGGCGCTTCTTAGAATCGACTGCACGTAAGTAAGAGTGGCCCTGCGCCGCAGTTACCTTCCCAGAGAGCCGATGTCGTGATTGTTGTTTGATGCGGGGTCCCCGGAAGTCTCGACCTATTCCCTGGGATCGGCTTTTCATCCTGAGTCGTTGTTTGAGGGCCTTGGGGCCCGGCGAGGGCCCTAAAGTGGCCAAAAATTGCAAAAAATACCCGTTGTGATGTTTTCAATACGTTGGATCTCTGGGAGACTGACCCTTCGCCGCAGTGACCTTTGGTGCTGGCCCACCGGGCAGGGCCGTGAGCCGTCGCCAGTGTGACCCTTCGCCGCAGTGGCCCCTCGCCGGAGTGACCTTTTCCGCTGCTGCCGCCTCTCTCTCCTCTTCCTCCTCTGTGTGCGGGCACTCCCTGACCCGTCTGACTAAGGACTAACAACAAGCAAACCCTTCGAAAACAAGCAACTTATAATTTAGACTCGCAAGTGGTTGTGAAAAACGAAATCACTCTGGTTTGTTTGAAGTTATTTGGAGAAGTAAAGACACGACATCTCCAAGACGGCCCAGCTGGACACCCGAAGGGCCCTTCCAGCGCCTCCACGCGACCCGCGATGGTCTTGGCACGTGACTTCCGCAGCTCCTACGCCTCAAAAAGGTTTCCAAGGGACATCGGGCCTACCCGACATTCCCCGTATCAGCAAGGTCCTCTGCGCCAAGCACCCCCCGACATGTTGCTCCATACAGTGGAGGCACGCACCGGGATGTTGACTGCCCTTTGGCAAGGTACCTGAGGTTTCTTGGTTTCAAAGAGGCGTGCAATGGGATCCTTGAGACCATAGAACCTCCCTGTTTCAGGGTACACGCTTCTTGTGGATATCACAGCGATATACTTGGCGTGGCACATTGGCCTCCGAAGGGGGATGCGCCAGGGGGTATGGTACGGGCCCCTTTGCTCCCAGAGTGTGGAACCCCTCTGGCGAAACGCCGTTTGGGGAAGTACGCGGACATCTTCTCACAGCCACATGATCACCACGATGTAGCAGGCGTGGCGTTATAGCCTCCCCACGAGGCCGCCAGGGGGTATGACATGAGCCTGTTCTCGCTAAGGCTGCGGGACCGCTTAGGCGAAACGCCCAGCTTTGAACTAGACGTGTCCTTTCCGTGGAGTCACATGATACAGCGTCGCATCGAGCGCAGCACTTGGGCTTCGCAAGGGTAGCCGCGTGGGCCGCCCAGACTGCGGGGACCACTTAGGCTCAACGCGCGGTTTGGGGTAGCAGGCGCGTCTCCTCTCAGAACCCCATGATGGCCGCGATGTGGCAAGCGTGGCGCTTTGGTGTGCCAAGGGGAGACCGCCAGGGGGTACGAAAGCGCCCGTGAGCGCCCAGACCCACCCGCGACCCACCCCTCGCCCGCCCCCTAACTCTTATCCGCAATTGCCGGGTGCTACGAACTCAGAGGCTCACATAGGAATGCGCTACATTGAACATGTGTATACACATGTGGATGCCCGCGTCCAGCACGTTTTCATTGTGAAGGCCTTACGGCTGGTGCCGCCGACCTTGAAGACGGCGACGACGAGGAGGACGAAGATGAGGAGAAGTTGGAGGAGGAGGAGAATGCGGAGCAGGAGGAGCACAAGGAGGAAGAGGAAGCGGAGGTCGCTGTGGAGCAGCAGGGGGAGGAGGAGGATGAGGAGGAGGATAAGACGTGGTAGCAGGGGGCAGGGGGGAGAACGGGCTGTGGAATGGCCAGCAGCAGGACGAGGGGAAAGGGAGCTGGAGCAGGAGAAGGAAGAGGACACGGAGGAGGGGCAGGAGGATGAGGATGATGAGGAGAGAATGCAAAGGCGGTGGATGTGGGGGAGGGGAAGAGGGTGATGGGGGGGCGGAGGCTCCAAGGGGGGAGAGGAGGCGGAGGAGGAGGATGAGGAAGACGAGGACGAAGGCGATGATGACATGGCTGCTGCTGCTGCTGACGACGACGACGACGATGACGATGATGATGATGATGATGATGATGATGATGATGACGATTATGATGATGATGATGATGATGATGATGATGATGATGATGATGATGATGATGATGATGATGATGATGGTGAGTACGACGATTGCGACGAGAACGATGATGATGGTGATGATGATGATGCTCATGTTTGATATGATGGTGATGATGATGATGCTGATGATGATGATGGTGATGGTGATGGTGATGGTGATGGTGATGGTGATGGTGGTGATGATGATGATGATGATGATGATGATGATGATGTGATGTCGCTTGGGGAGACAAGGCTGTCTTGGGAAGGCTGCCTGGGGCCTCTGGGGAGGAATTTTGGCGTCTCTGTGACAGTCTTGAGGGGCTCTTGGGAGCCTCTTGGGGGCCTCCTCGGGTTTCCTGAAGGATTTTTGGGGGCCTCTTGGGAAGCTCTTGAGGCGGGAGCTTCTCGGGGCAGAGGGCTCGAAATGTCCGTTCGGTTACCCCGTCTGCGCACGCTCTAAGCGCTGTCTTGGCGGCCTCTCGGGCCGTCTAGGAGGCGTTTTGGGCTGTCTTGGGGCTCTCTTGGGATATTTTGGAACGCTCTTGGAAGCCTCGTGGGGCAGTCTTGGAGCGATATTGACAGAATGCGGGATGCGGAAAAGGCGAGACAGTCGAAATCTGTAAAAACTAAGGGAAATCAATGAATCTTCTCTCTTGGGGCCCTCTCGGGAGGCTCTTGGAGGCTTCTTGGGGCGTATTGGAGGTTGCCTGGGCAGTCTGGAGAGCGTGAAGCCGTTTTGAACCGATCTTCTTGCGATTCGGGACTCTCTTGGACCGTATCGGGGGCATCTTGGGGCACTCTTGGCTTGTCTTGGTATTTTCCCGGCCCCGGGAACCACAGGGGACCCGCGGAATACGCAGAAACGGATGCGTATCTGACCCGGGACCCCCCCTTGGGATCCCCCCCACACACCTCCCAACCTTCCCGACGGGGGAGGGATCAAAGGGAAGGGGCTCCCCTTCGATTCGGCCACGACAGTGTAATTTTCATTGTATAAGAAGTAGTACATAATTCGTGGGGGGAGCTGGCTGGCGTGAAAAGGCAGGATGCAAAGAAAATGCAAGAGAGCCCTCGCACACGCCGACAGGTCGGCGGATTTTCTCGAACGCCAGACCCAACGATTCCTGCTCCAGTGCCGCCACCGCTCTGCAGCCATGTTGGCTCAAGGGCGATTTGCGCCCCACCCGGCCAGCGGCCATGAACTTCGTCAAGTTCATGACGGATGCAGCGGCGAGACATTTGCACCAACCGTTGCCTGCCGAACCGAGGGCACTGGCCGATTCGGCGGACGCTGTGGAGGCGAGCTTGCCCGAGGCACTCGCAATAGGCGTGCTGGGAGCGTGCTCAATGCAGGAGGCACTGCTCCGGCTACGCCTCGAGCTACGTGCCGCGGCGGCCTTCGACCTTCTGCTGTCTGAGCCTTTTGCGCATTGGCGACGGCTCGCTGCAGAACGCAGAGCTGCCGCTGACTCGCTGCTCGCAGCGGAGCTACAGGCCGCAGCCGCGTCACTGGGCTGCGCTAGCCCTCCCACCGCGCCAGCCCCGACACCAGGAACCCCGCGCAGTGCATCTGAGAGCACGAACGCGTTGACGCAGGCCCCCGCCGTGCAGAGCCCGGCCGGCCGATCGTCCCCCTCTGGCGGATGCTCGGAGGAGGATGTGTGCAGCACGGCCAGGGAAGGCGGTCTGGCGGGCGCCCCAGTGAGCGCAGCCTTTCGCCCAAGAGTGGCGGTCGCCGCTTCCACGCTGGCGGCCCTCATGGCGGCGCTGCAGACGCAACAGCATCCAGGTCTGGGTCTCACACTGGCTGACGTTGGCATTGCAGAGGCGTGGTGGCTCCAGGACCTTGGTCTGCCCCACGCAGAGGCCAGCGGGGCCTCTCTGCGGTTGGCCGCGGACGCCTTTCTGCGGGAGCCGTGCGTCCTGGCAGAAAGCGTTGCTTCTGTTGATACGGCATGGCACGAGCACAGCAAGCAGGAGCGCGATGTTGCTTCGACGGTCCTCAGCAGCAGCAGCGACGCGGCCCAGGTGCTAGCATGTCTAGGGAGGCTCCGCGCGACAGCGAGGGTGCCCCCGAGCTGCGGCGAAACCAGACGGGACAGCGCGGGCGGCACCTGCAGGGCCAGCAGCCCAGGATCATCGCAGGCCTGCGCTGGAGACAGGAGCTCAGAACTGACGGCGCCCGCTGGCCCCGCAGTGAGCTCGGAGGAGGTTATCGCCACCCCGCGGGGGCCAAGCGGCAGCAGCAGCCCGCGCGAGCGGCGAGACCAGGCAACCAGCGGCGCCAGCTTTGCTGGCCTAAGCCCCAGCCTCCCGCCCGGCGGCCTTTGCAGGGCCACCAGTGGCGCGGGTGACCTTGCTGCACCTCTGCGCCGGCCCTGCTCCCGCCGCAGCACGGCCCGTCGCCAGGGCTCCGCCGCCTGCGAGGGCGGCGCTGGCGCGGAGCTCGGCGGAGACCCCGCGAGTCCCATGGCAGGGCCGCGGTCGGGGGCGGTGCTTCCTCAGGCCGCCCTGGTCGCGCTGCTCGCTGCTGCAACCGCCCGCTGCTGTACGCAGGGTCAGCGATAGACCTCTCCCAGGACTCGCGGGCCTCTTCGCCCGCGGCCACCAGCCGCGCCTCGGAGTGGTCCAGCCCTTGGGCGCCCAGTGGCGGCAGCGACGAAGGCCTCCGGCCCGAGGCTGCCAGCGAGGCGCTCTTCGACGCCCGCGTCGGAGGAGGGGCTGCCGAGCCGCGGGCGGGGGCCACGGCACCACCCGCGGGCACCAGCCCCCCGCGGCGCTCCACGGGGGGCCCCGCGGGCCTCCTTCCTGCAGGCAGTGGCCCCACCGAGGCGCGCCGAGGGCCCCCCCCGAGAGGAGCGGCCGCAACGCCCGCGGGAGCCGCCGCAGCGGCGGGCCCCGGGCCCTGGCGGCGCTCCGCGGAGGCCCCCGCGGGCCTGGCAGGAAGTCCCGGCCCCGTGGAAGCACGCCGCGGGCCCGCCCTGGGGCGCTCCAGAGGAGGAAAAAAGATACCCATACCTCTGGCCTCCCCCTGTCTTCCCCTGTGCGGGGCCTCCTCGGCGGCCCTCGTCGCCACCGCCGGATTCGCCCCGAAGTTCTGGTCCGAAAGCACCCCGGGAGAGGTCCCGGCAGTAGTGGTAGTGGTGCCTTTTCTGGTCTCCCCAGGTGCAGCCACGGGCCGCCGGCAGGCTTCGCCGGCAGCTCGGAGCAGCCCCCCTCCTCGGGAGCAGCGCTAGGGACGGACAGGCTCAGGGGGGGAGCACATCTGGTGTCATGATGTTCCAGCCTACTTTGGCCTTGACCGCCGGGAAGAATTTCGAGCGCCCCAAAAAAGAGCCGAAGCGCGAGGGTTTGGGAGACACTCGCCCGACACTGTTTCGACACTGGACATTTTTCCAGGTGCTCGAAATCATTTCTGGGATGTGGTCCTTAAGTAGGATGGGGACAACATAAATCTGGCGGCCGATTGGGTGCCTGCTGGCCCATGCGGCCCAGGGACGTGCGGTGCCGCCGTCGGGGGGCTACCGCCAATCTGCCGGCGACGTGTCGCCGGTTCCAGGTCGATGTTTCCGCCCTTGAGCCAGCCCCCCCTATCACTCTCCCTCAACATCCCCGCCGTGCTGCAGGTGCTGGCCGGCGAGAAGAATGAGACTGGCCTCCGTTGATGCGGGCCTTCGTTGAACAGCTCAGCGTGGCAGAAGCGAACATCCGCCGCCTCGTCCTCCTCTGCGCCACCAGAATCTGGGCGCGCTCAAGTCAAAAGTGTGGTCCTGGCATGCGCTTTGGCATGAACCAAGTGCTACCCCAGTTCTGATTTCGCGCTACGGTCAGGACATTCACGACAAACCATGTGTTGATTGGCTATGTTATGCGACGCGACGTTTTCGGTATGTAGTGGTCTGTTCTGATATTTTGTTACGTACGAGGACGGTAGAGAAAGGAGAGAGCTCAAAGCCAGATTGGAGAAGAGTGGAAGAAGGACGGAGCGAGGGGGGCGGGGCGAAGCCATTCCTGATTATGTTGTGCCACACGCTGCTACGCCAAGCTACGCCGTACAGTTGTGTACTACGCCTCGATGTGCAGTGCACTGCTCTTATGCTGCATTATGGTGCGCGACGGTCCGATATGACATGATGCACCATGCCACGTCATGCCGTGCTACGCTATACTATGCCGCGAAGCACGATGCTACGTAATAGTATACTGAGTTACCCCACGCTGAGCTGTGACACGCCATGGCAGCTTACTCAACGTTATGTTACGCAAGTATCGTCCATGTTACGATCGGATTGACCCATGCAATGACATGATAGTGTATGCTATGATATACCATGGTTAGCACACGTATGCGGTGCTATGATAAGATACACGATGCAATCATATGCCACGTGCTGTTCAGGCAGACAATGGAGGCGAGACATGCGTTGCAACGCGATGCGATGCCAAAAGGTAGGATGCGTCGACCCTGCTACTGCCCAGCGCAACGCAATGCAGAGCATCGCTCTACGTCGGGTGGGCATGGCAAAGGCAAGGGGACGACTCTCGAGCAATCCCCAGGCAATCTGCGGCTCGAGAGGGGGGGGGGGGGCACCATCGCCACGGTAACAGCAAGGGAAGCCAGACTCACCCCGGCGAATACCCGGCGGGGAGGCGGGCCATCGCCACCATCCGCCTTTCGCGGAGGGAGTAGGAGTCTTCGGGCAAAGCCTACATGGGGGGATCAGATTGAGGGAAAGTCGTGTAGTATTAGAGGCAGCGGAAGGCACAGCTAAGGTGCGGTGCACTGGAAAGCACCGCAACGGAAAGGCAACAGAAGTCAGCGCAGCGCAGCGCATTGCAATGCAGCCCCCTGGGAAGCAACGCAAACAACATGCAATGAGCTCGAAAGTGAAGCAAAAGCAATGCCATCGATTGCAAAGCGAAGCAACGCAATTTAGCCCACTAAAATAAAACAGGAAACAGTGCATATGCAATACAATGTAGAAGCAATGCAACGCACACGGCATGCAAAAGCAACACATTGCAGTGCAAATGAATACATGTCAGCCAGTGTGCACCTTGTTGCAAAATGTGCGGTGCTGTCTGGGTGGTGCAGTCAATGTGGCGCAACCAATGTGACGCAAAGCAATACCATGCAATGCAAAGCCATGCACTGCACCACGAAGCAATGCGAAGCAAGGCAAAGTAATGCAAAGCAAGACGAAGCAATTCAAAATTGAGGCAAAGCAATGCAGAGCAATGCACAGACATGCAAGCAATGCACAGCAATGCAAAATAATGCGAGGCAATGCGAAGCGATGAAAATTAACTAACGCGACGCGACGCAGCGCAATGCCAAGAAATGCAAAGCAATGCAAGACAGGGCAAAGCAATGCAAAGCAATGTGAAGCGCTGCAACGTTGAGCAGCGGCAACGCAATGCGAAGCCATGCAACGCAATGCCCAGCAGCGCAGAGAAGTGCAGCTCCAAACAGCGCGATGCACAGAAGTGCGGAGCGATGCAACGCAGTGCAAATCAGCGCAAAGCAAAGCAGTGCGCGACCTCGGCGGCGGCGACGGGCGGCCGCATGCCGCCTGGACCGCCAAGGAAGCTCCGCTGCCGGCGACGTCCACGGGCGGCGACGGGCGGCGACGGGCCGGCCGGCGTGGCGCTCGGGCTCGGTTGCCGGCGGCGACAGCGGCGGCGACGGGTGGCCGGTCTAAAACGACGCGAAGATCGCGACAAAATCGGATCGGGATAATTCGAAATCTCTGAGAATCGGCGGGTTTGGAGGATGTATTGGGCGCCGCGGCCGCTCCAGAGCGTTCCGGAACGCTCTGAGAGCGCTCCGGAACGCTTTGGAGCGATTTATCCCGATCCTAGCCCTGTTTTACAGTCGGCCAGGCAGGGCGGCATTCAGGCTCAGTTACCCTAGAAGGGAGGCAAGAGCCCCTAGGTGCAAGCAGGTGTTTGGGACAAGTGAGCGCAAGTCAGCGCAGTGCCGTTGGAAGAGCAAAGCAACAAATACGTGGCGCATTGCGTTCAAGCAGTGGCGAGGCGTCCTGGGTTGCCTGCCTACAGGCCAAACAAACGATGGTCTAAGAACCTTTCTGTGGCCTGCACGAAATGTTTTTGGAACATTCTGGCTGAGACTGGTCTAAGGACATTGTCTTTGCCATCAAACATTCTCTGTTCTGGGAACATGTCGTGGTAGGCCGATAAAAACGCAGGGACAGTCGGCCCCTGCGCAGTGCATAAGCAAGTCAAACGCACTCGGGGTGATCGCAATACAACGCAACGCAATCAAGGGCAACGCAATTCAAGGGACAAATATGTTGGCACGCATGCAACCTTACGCTACACATGGCACGGCACATACAACGGATGCAACAGACACGTCAAAGACAACACATACAACAGAGACAACCTATACAACATACACAGGCAACATAACAGATACAGCATACACAACACCTACAATATCCGCAGCAGACACAGCAGGCACAACCGATAGGACGGAGACAACCCATACAGAAGGCACAGCAAATACAACCTGTAAGACATACACAGCAGATGCAACCCATACATCATAGATTGTATAAACAATATACATATCGTAAACAATTGATACACCCGATGTCTCAAGTTCAACAAATAGTACACATGTAGCTTATACAACGTGCACAGCACATACAATATGAACAACATACACAACATACCCAACATACACAATCAATATATCAGATGCAGTAGATGATACATTTGCAAAACCTGCAACACTGAAAACATGTACCTTGTACACAAAATGCAAAACAAACACAACACCGATAACAGCCTTACAATAGTGCACAGGTACCTAAAGTACTGTGGATATACATCGGCTATATATACAGTCACCAAAAATACACGCGCGCACAAGCCAGGCAATGCAAAGTACAAATGCAACATAAACAAACACGCACACCACATACACCATGTGCACAGAATGCCACACACCTATCATAGACATCACTTACAGCAGGTGCAACAGATATGGCAGATACAACATGCACAACCTATATAGCAGACAACACATACTCCTCGCTCATCACAGAGACAAGAAACACATTGCCCACAACAGATGGTACACATGAAACATGTATAACAGATGCATCAAACTGGAAATGTACAACATACACACCATACACAGCCGATACAACAGATCAAACACATCACATATACGCATCGAATACACAACATTCAACCTACAGAGCCAACATAACGCATACATCACAGTCAACACACCCAACTGATACAACGGACACACCAGATACAGTAGAGCCACATACACTATCGGCAACAAAGACAACAGATGCACTTGGGACCACATGAACAGCACGTACAATACATACAACTCTTACAAGAATTACAGCACAAGCATCATATACTGCAGGTAGAACACATGCACCAGATACACTTAGACACAACCGTTACACACAATGTACAAATATAGAGCTCATTTGCAACAGAGCCAGTTGATATAGCAGACACAACAGCGACAACCTTTACGACATATACATCACCCACAGCAGATACAACAAGCACAACATATACAACATACACAGTAGGGACAACATATGTATTGTATGATTGTTTTGGGTGTCCGATGGTTTCCTTTGTATCGTATGTTTTCCTCTGGTGCCAGATGGCTTCCCTTCGGTATCCGATGATTGGTCGAGTGGTTCTGCCGTCTCCCCCGTTCCAGCGGCGTCGCCTCGAAGCGGCCCAAAGTCAACACGGTCATTCAAGGCTAGCACGCGATCATCCTTAGTTTTCCAATGGTTTTTGTCAAATTCCTTTAGGTTCCGTAAGCTTCCTATGGTGTTCCTCCGATTGCCTATGGTATTCTTGGCGCTTCCTAAGGTTTACCGACGTATCCTATGGCTTCCATCGTTTCGGTTTCCTCTGGTGTTCCTTCGGCTCCCGATGACATTGCTTAGGTTTGTCCTATGGCTGTTATTTGTGTTTACGGTTTCCCGTGATCGGTTTCTTCCGGATTCTCATGGTTTTCTTGAAGTGTGTTTTGATTTTCCATGGTCTTCTTTGAATTTCCTATGTTTTTCAGTGTGTTGCTTGCCGGGTCCCTTGGGTTTTCTATGGTTTTTTTCTAGTCGCGTGTGTTGTTTGTCAAGTGTTTTGTGGCTGTCTGCGATTCACCGGGCGCCAGACCAATGGAAGTTACGGGCCGAATAGAGGCG